CTGCTGGCTGCCGGCCCGCCGCTGCAGCCAGAGGCCGGCGGCGCGACGCCGACGCCGGGCACGCCGCCACGGCGCTATCGCGGCTCCGACGGCGGCGCCGAAACTGCCGCCAACACCGGCGCCGCGCTGGCCGGCGCCGGCAGCGGCGGCCTGCCAGCTGGCCTGCGCCGCGTCAGCGCCACGGGAGAGCACGACTGGGAGGCGGCACTGGCGGCGGCGGCCGCCGCGGCGGCCGCGCCTCCGGCGCCCCGCATCCTGCCCTGGCTCTGGGCGCCTCGCTACCGCTTCAACGCCGGCGCCGGCGTGCGGCTGGCGGGCGAGCAGCGCTGGGCAGCGGGGCCCTCTGGCGCCCTGCTGCTCGCCTGCCTCACAGAGGGCGGCGAGGCGCCGGCGGGTGTGGCGGAGGCGGAGGCGGCGGCGGCGGCTGCGGCGGCCGCCGAGGCCGCGGCAGCCGCCGACGTGGAGGCGGCAGCTGCCCTGCAGTCGCACCCGCTGGACCTCAGCAGCGCAGGCTCCCAGGGGGGGCAGGCGGTGGGCGCAGAGGGCGGTGAGGGCAGCGGCCGCGGGGCGGGCACGGCGCGGCGAGCGCTGCGTGTGGCCTCCTCCGTCGCCTCCCCCGCCACGCGCGCCACATCTGGCTTTCTGTGAGCAGCCTGCCCCTCGCCTGCATGCCCTGGGTGCTGTGCTGTGTCTGGCGCCGGGTGTGTGGCCGGAGGGTGGGGCTGGCTTGCTGGGGTGAGATGCCCAGACAACTGTGCTTGGACACCACCTGACCGCCTGCGCCCTGCATGTGTGCAGGCGGATGATGCCCTGGCAGCACCGCTACTCCCGCGGCAGCAACAGCGCCAGCCAGGGCGGGGAGGCAGACGGCGGCGCCGCCGCCGACGGCAGCAGCCACACGCCCAGCAGCGGCGACGGCAGCGGGCACGGCGGCTCTGCCATGCAGCAGCAGCTGCGGGTGCCGCTGGAGCGTTTGGCGCGCTCCCGCCCCTCGGACGCGGCGGCGCGCTCCGTCCACAGCGCACGCTGAGCTGGCGGTGCGGAGCTGCGCTGGCGCCTGGCGCGCCACTGCGCTGCTCCCCATGTTGTGCGTTTCGCCCCCGAATCTCTTTTGGAATTTCGTTGTTTTTGTTTGATTACTCCATTCCATGCCGGTCCCTGTCCCCGCCCCCCCCGTGTCCATTCAAGGTATCATGCCACACATTGTGCTGGTGCCCGCGTATTTAACACACAAGCAAAATGGTGTACACACATGCAGCAGCAGGGGGTTGGTGGGGTGGGTAGCGGCTGGACTTGGGGGCATGCTGCGCTCTACAGGTCCCAACACGAGAGCATGTCATCGCAAACGGAGAACCGAGAGACCCGGGTGTCAAGCAGCAGCTCTGGGCGTCGCTCCTTGAGCTCCAGGGTTGCTTCCATCAAAGCCGACTGAACCACCTCACTTTCCCCAAAGCCAACGCACTGCAGGGGCGCATGCTGCGCCGCCCAGCGCCAGAAGGCGTGCCATTGCTCCTCAGCCTCAGGCTGCGGTTCAGGCGGCTCCAGGAAGCTGATGCGCTGCAGCCGCTGTGCACCGGTCAGGAAGGGCAGGCTGCGCTGCGCCACTGCGAAAGTTGTCGCCAGGTGCCGCAGGCTGCGCTGCCAGGGCCCCAGCGGCAGCTCAGGCCGCGCTGGCTGTTCTTGAGGTTCGTCCCATTCCTCCAGGTAGAGCCACTGCAGGCGGCTCAGGGCGGCCAGGGATGGCGGGGCAACCGCCGCTGCTGGCAGCCCATACAGCCGCAGACCCGTTAGCTGGGTGAGCTGCTGCAGGGCGGCGTGCAGGCTGGCAGCCACGGCGGCGGCCTCGCCATAGGGATGTGAGATGTCCAGCACCTGCAGGAGCCCCGTCAGCTCTGAAAGGCTGCCTGGCAGCTGACATGACGAAAACTCTGCGTGCTGGAGCGAGGTGAGCCGTGTCAGGCTGGCCATGCCGGCTGCGCTGTAATTACCACCAAATAGCCTAAGGCTGTGCAGGTTGCTGAGGGCAGCCACCTGCAGGAAAGGCAGGGGGGGGGGGGGGGGGGGGACCCCC